CTATTCATAGACAAAACGTTCGTTCTCAAATAATGGCAGCCCTTCCTCCCGAAAGAGTTACGTTGTCGGTACCATTCCACACTACCGGTGTAGATTTCGCCGGCCCTTTTTTGTTAAAAGCCGGTTTAAACCGTAACGCACCCTATCATAAAGCTTACACTTGTGTATTTGTTTGTTTTGCGACAAAAGCAATTCACTTGGAAGTCTGTTCAGACTTAACCACAAGTGCATTTTTAGCAGCGTTCGCACGCTTCGTAGGGCGACGAGGAATGCCCGCGAAAGTTATGTCCGATAATGGCAAAACATTTATCGGAGCTCATCGCACATTACTGTCGAGACCTCTAAAAAATACGAAACTCATGGGTTTGAATGGCAGTTCATTCCTCCATACGCTCCCCATATGGGCGGCCTGTGGGAAGCTGCCGTTAAAAGTTTCAAAACCCACTTCATAAAAGTTGCTGGCACCCAAAAATTCACTTTCGAAGAATTTTCAACGCTTCTTATACGCATAGAGGCAGTTTTGAACTCAAGGCCATTATCACCCATGTCCGAAGATCCCACGGATCTCCTAGTGCTCACTCCGGGTCACTTTCTCCGAGGCGCACCCCTTATGGCTATCCCGGAGCCAACTGAAGAAACCCTATCCTTAGCCAATCGCTGGCAAAAATTAAAAATTCTCCATCAGGAATTCAGTAGACGATGGAAAGCGGAATATCTACGCGAGCTTCACAGACGTCATAAATGGCGACAACCCCAGAAGGATATTGAGGAAGGAGAGTTGGTAGTTGTCAAAGATGATCTCTTGCCACCACAGGAATGGTGCCTTGGAAGAGTACTCAAACTCCATCGAGGCCCCGATAACCACATTAGAGTCGCTGAGGTCAGAACTCAAGCTGGGATTTATACCCGACCAATAGTCAAATTATGCCCTCTACCTCCTCCACTCACTCATAACTCTAATTGAATAACTCGTCTACCATATAGTCCAATCAGCTCAAATACTTATAACACTATTATTTTCTAATTACAGTCCATTAGCTCCAACTCTACCAACTCGTACTAATTCACTTGTTGATCTTTTACAGAACCCCGGATGTATATCAGTGTCAACTGTGCTGCCGTTTTCATGCTCTGCAAACCTGCGCTTGTTTTCGAGAGATGAGTGTGGCCGATCGCATAGAAGCTGTCCGCGTTCATAAATATTGCATGAACTGTTTGACCCGATCCCACAAGACCGGTGCATGCCCATCTCGGAATAGCTGCAGAATATGTAAATTAGGACACCACACGCTTCTTCACCGCCCAACTGCCAATTCCACTGGGGAACGCAAACCTGCTCAACATGCTGTGGGACGCAGATCGAAACGCGAGACAGAACGCCGCTCTACGGCAATGAAGACATCGAAGTCGAAGTCACTTACGGCCCGCTTTAAACCGCGGATTTGTCCGTGTGGACGCCTTTTGTTATCAAGGAAACCCAATGCCGTTTCGCGTATCGAGTTGAAACGCCTAGTCACCACGGCATTGACATCGCTGCAGGAGCTAGACAGCCTACTAAATGTTGCACCCGTGCAAGGGCGGCGGCATGTCGACGATGAAGGAGAGCGAGGTGGCAACCTCACTCTATTCGACTAGTTTCTAAAATTCCTCTAAACAAAAATCCTCCAGAAAGTTGTTTTTGTATAAACTCACTGAATTTATCTACTGAAGTATGAAATGAAATTGAAGTGTAAAAAGCTACAATTTTAGATATAAGCGCGACCGTCGTACAGCACGGACGTGCCTTTGAGTCATTTTAAGTCTCAACTCGATTTAATTATAGAATTTCGTACATTTGTACCTCTTTATTTGAAGTCATTAAATATTTTATCCAAAGAAAATCTAACTCTTTTATTCCTCGTTCCGACCGAAATCTCCCTTTAATATAGCGGCGCTATATTAAACACTCCATATAAAATAATTTTGGACTCATCCGTCCACAAAATGTTCCTCCACTTTTGAATGGGCTATTCCAAATGTAGTTTGGCAAAATCGATTCTGTGTGCCACATGATTTTTTTTTTCAAAAGGGGGACCTTGCGTGGACTTCGTGCATTAAGATTGTGTTCACGCAACCGTCTTCTTATATATAGTATGGACACTACAGGATAAGTTGAAACTATCTAAAATTTCCACAGCTGACATTGTTGGTCGCGACTTCGAACATTTGATAATTTGACGTACGGTAATCGTTGATAGTTTCCGTTTGGCACCCCTTTTTTCAGGTTTACTTTTATAAGTTATTGCGTTCCGAATCATTGTTGATGAACAGCGATTGATTTCTTCCACTTCCTTGTAAGTTTTACCACTTTCAACCAGTTTTTTTTTATCATTTCACGTTTTTCGTGAGTACAGTGTACACCTCGTCCCACTGAAGATTATTAAGAAGTGGTTATGGTTTTTATGTTACACATAAAGTAAATATAGCACTAAAACTTACTATTTTTTCAAAAAAAATCAATTATTTCTACGTGAAATAAAAAATTAAGTTCGTCTTTGCTCTTGACTACTATTTCACTGCTCGCTCAAAATGGCCATTTCTTCAAGCTTACTAATACAAAAAATTAAATGTAAAAGTTAACTTGTTTAAAATTTGCGTAGTGATGGGTCATAGACTAAAGATGATAATTAAAAAAAAATCGGTATCATTATCGCATAGGTTGCAAAATATATTGTATATATTGTCGAGGTGTGGTGTATTTGGCCGACTGCACCCCAAAATTTCTGGCAGAAATTAGTTCACAGAGAAAATGCGCCTTCTCAGTTATAAACGTTCTCTGATATTACTGCCAAAAAAACTACGAACATGCATATAAATGTAAATATGTACAAATCACGGCAGCATACATACATATATATGCACATAATTACACGTATACTCAAATACAACAATAACTATTTCATTCATAAACGCATGCGCATATTTCTCAAGGCCAAGTAAATTCATTCATAAAAACAACCGCAGCACATCTCCCCGCAAATTCATCACCAACAAGCGCAACTTTGTCAATCCGACACAAAAATTCTAAAATCTTAAAATGAAGAAATCTCGGCCAGCCAAGTGAAAATTGGCAATTATTTCCCTATATCCAGTAAAATAAGTTATCTCGAATCTTGGCAATTTTTGGTAATTTTTGGTAATTTTTGACAAAACACTCTATTTCTCTGTTCCATACCAATATTTCAATCATTAACTAGTATTTTAAAGTGTCATTTTAATAAACATTAAATAAAAGTGTATGTTTTCTGCAGCAAAATACATTAATTTTTTTTAAATAAAATCAAAACTTGTAAAATCACAAACATATGTGGTTTTATCGGAAGTTCACAGATGTAACGTGGCAACTTAGCTCGTTTTCATATTTTTCGGTCCGAAATTGTAGAATTTTTGTCCATGCCGCGCCACAATTTTTGTACAGGTGGGTCAATGTGCCTTGAACAAAATTTATATATATACAAAAAAATTATTTTATTTATTTTTTAATATTAAAAATTTCTATACTTCCAAGCGTTTATAAAAATATATTTACATATATGCACGAACGATTTTTAATATTTTTCATCCCTAAGCAAATCTTCAGTACCATAAAAGATTCAAACACATCAAAGTACAAGCAATGCATTGTTCAACCTAGTGCTACTCCACTGTACATGTGTATATGAATGTATGCATGTATGCGTGTAAAAAATGTCAATTCCAGTTGGTCTTTAACCCATTTAGCGGACATAGTTTTTTTGGTTTCAGCTGGTTGCAACGGTTAATGAAGCACAATTTTTATGGTTAATCTTTATGAAAGTTACATATATCGTCGAGAACATGGTTACATGCAGAATTTTAAATTAATTAATATTATTCTCCATACAAAATGTACGAGTATTGCTTTATTAAATGCAAACTTATGCGAAAAACTAAATATTTGGCAAACGGAGGGTTAATATTTTCGCGCACGTGCCAATCTGGTGTCGATTCCCAGAAATTGAATAATTTGTGTGTGGATGGGAGCGGCGAGGGGAAGACGAAAGCCGACCAATCGCACATTTGTATGTACATATATATGTTACATACATACATTACATATCTACATATTTACAAATGAATGTGTACATACGTACATATTTATGCGTTTGGCTTTTTGCATGAATAGAAAATTTGATTGCAGAAATAATTATATATGTGTATGTGCATAAGTAAATATATACATACATACATACATATGTTTCATTAAATTGTAATGAAATAGTTTTATTGAAAAAGTTCCACTTTACATGACTTTAGATAATTGCGGAAAAAAGTCGAAAAAATTGACTTAGAAAATCTCATCAACATAGCTGAAACAGAAAAATTCATACATGTTTGCAAAAATGAATTTGCAACCAGCAAATCGATTTCACGCAAATATCATATTTTCGGCAAACAAGCAAATGTACAAAAGCCCGCTCCTTTCCCCGTTTCCCCGCTTCTTTTGTACACTTGTCGTTCTGACTACCATTTTTATTTTAGAGTTTGTTTTGATCCGACACAAGCACACGCCTGCCTCCGCAAGCATCCCCTCTGCCCTGTGCTTATTCTATTTCTGTTCCTCTTTCCTTTTTCGTTCTTATTTTTTCATTTTGCTTTGAACTGCTCGAAGTGTGGTGGGACGGAAAAATTTTTGGTATGGTGGCAGCCGACACTTCTCTACCGACACCGTCGGTCGAGTGGTGCACTCGTCGAGGTGTGGTGTATTTGGCCGACTGCACCCCAAAATTTCTGGCAGAAATTAGTTCACAGAGAAAATGCGCCTTCTCAGTTATAAACGTTCTCTGGTTTGATTGCGTTTACAACGATACCAATTTTTTGAAAATCGATTGG